TGCAAAGACTCTAATGTTAGCATGAAGTTTAACCCATAGACCAATGTACATTAGAAAAATAATTTTGTAGAAGTTGGAAGTTAAAACTGATGTATGAGCTCACATAGGTTAACTTGAATTTCAAAGGGCAGAATCGAACTTTCATGAAAGATAAATTTGTGACAACATTTTAAGCTAATCAAGTAAATGGCCTTACTATCAGCTCGGTCGGAAGACTTGTCTTATGTATAACCACAAGTGTCCGGTGGCTCGTACAAGTGTCATTTATGCTTTATGTTATATGATGATGTGATGATGCCATATGATGGGATGATGATGTTAGATGATGATGTGTTGATGTTGTATGATGACTTGATGATGTTAGATAATGATGCGATTATGTTATATGATCACGTGTTGATGTTATATAATGATGTGATAATGTCATGTGATGACATGATGACATTATATGATGATGTAATGATTTTATATGATGACTTGATGACGTTAGATAATGATGTGATGATGTTATGATGTACATGATGTTGACATGATGTTGATGATGCATAATAATAAGATGATGCGACACGTATGATAATGAAATGACTTAATATGACGATGTTTTGTATTAAATGTCACGATGCATTATAACAAAAAAAATTTAAAGACACAACCCTGAGGATTCACACTCGCACGTGTGGATCCATCCAATTTATTCGAGACTTGAGGCCATCCCTATGATGGTTTTTAAATGATAAGTCCCTAGATCATGACTTACATGTGTTTGCTTTCCCTGACCCCAATAGTGGATCATTTACTGAGTATTTCTTAAAATACTCAAGCCATGAGCTACTTTTTTTTCGAGTAAAGGCAAGGTGTCCCTGTACGGCTGGCGATGACATCGCAACTTGAGACCATGACAAATGCATAGGGTAGTCGCATTTATTTTTCTTAGACTTAGGCTAGAATAGAATGTTATTAATATAAAGGTTTATTTATTTTCTTTAGTCTTTTATCGTGTCATTTTAAAGGTGTTTTCAAAAAACGTAAGTCCATGACTGTGTTTAAAGATAAAGGTTATGTTTTATGATGAAGTTTTTAAATGTTTAATTTTGCATACGAGTTTAGATGATGATGACGGTAACAACTCGAGATAAATGGAAATTTAGGGTCGTTATACCTCATGTATCATTGTGTGTTCATGCATCGGGGATACCCCTTCATCTTTTACGATGGTATGAATGCATACACTACAAGGCAAGAAAACTATCATTATATTTGTTATAATGCTACGAAATTCAATATTCCTAACGGGTGTCTTACATCAACAGCTCCTAGATAATGCTCGTCTGACAAGAAAGGGGCCCAAGAGGTGTGCGAACCAACTGGTGAGTCCATACTCGTACGTGTAGACCGTATGTAAAATAGTAAATACACATCAAATTAACCCGCTTAGGATAGCTGCCTAAGAAATATAGACTGATATGATAAGTCCCACTCATGATTGTATGTGCTTGCATCTAACCTCAAGTCATATGCTACTCTTATTTTTCTAGGTAAAGGCAAGACTCCCCTGTACGGCGGATGGTGACATCGCAACCTAGGAGACCATGACACATGCATAGGGGGTTTGCAAAATTTAAATTTCGAGACTATACGTTAGTATAGGTTAGTATGCATTTAATTTTGTAGCATATAGGTTAGTATTTCACTTCTTGGTATTTTATTTTAAGGACCTTCTAGAATACAGGTAAGTCTATGACAACATTTTATGATAAAGTTTTGAATGAAGTATTTTTCACATAAATATTTATGATAGGTATACAGTAACAACTTTAGGTTAAATAGGAATCTACGGTCGTTACAGATTCTAAACACAAAAAAAAATGAATGTCAAAATTGTCTTTGTTTGATTTGTTGTTTAATTTTGCATCAACTTTAAATGTCTTCACTTGTTTATCTCTCCAATATCCAGGGTCACTTTAGAAAGTGACGATTCTTAATTAAAAAAAAGGAGAACCTCTAACGATCTATTGCAAGTCGAAGGCCAATGATTTAGGTAATAAGGGTGTTGCATGATGCAAAATTTTCAACCACGCCTTCTTTATATATATATATATATCTACATTTATATAATTGATAGGTTTAAAAAAAAAAAAAAAAATCAACCATTGAAAGTATAATATACAACATAAAAAAAAAGTTATTATCGATATTCAACTTCTATGGCGATTTATAAAAAAAATAATTGTAGTTTGAATGTTAAATTAGAAGTTTAATACTTTAAGTTCAAAAGCCAAGAATTATTTAATACTTAATGGTTTATAGAACTTCATATATTCTCAACTTTGTAACTTAATTTTTACCCATCTGACATAAATTTCTAATACAAGGAGCATATCCTTCCATTCAAACAAGAATACTGTAACGACCGTAGATTTTTACTTACCTAGAGTCACTATCGTAATCATAACTTAATCATTTTGTGAAGAAATAAGCGTTTAAACTTTATCATAAAATTTAGACTTCATCTTAAAACACTGCAATAGAGTTACGTGTTCAAAAACATCTTTAAAACGACACAACAAAATATTAAATAAAATAAATTAGCATTGTAGTTAAAAACACTCTATTCTAATCTAACTCTAAGAAAATAAATACTACTACCCTTTGCATGTTTCATGGTCTCAACGGCTATGTAGTTGTTAGTTGTATAGAGGTGTCTTGTCTTTACCTAAAATAGCAGTAGCACGTGACATGAGTATTATAAGCAATACTCAGTAAGTGACCTTGGGGTTAGATGCAAACACATACAATCATGTGTAGGACATGTTGTAAAAGTCTATATTCCTTATGTGTCTATACTAAACGAGTTAATGGGAAGTGTATTTACTGTTCTACAAACGATCCACACCTGCGAGTATGAACCCACCAGTCGGTTCGCACACCTCCTAGGCCCCTTTCATGGTTAGACGAGTATTCTCTAGAGGTGTTGATGTCGGACACCGTCAGACATAGCGACTGTCGTAGTATTATAATAAACATAATGATCATTTTTCTGCCTCGTCATGTACGTGTTCGTATCATCGTAAAAGAGGGATATTCCTGGATGCATTAACATACAATGATGCATGAGATTCCAACATTTTTATTCAATTATCATGAAAGACAACCCCTTCCATTTTTCATTCATATCATATAATTTTTATTATAGTTTCCTTACATAAATTGGGGTTGTGCATTATGTCCACACATTTTTGTCGTATATCATTCATATCGTGCAACATGTCATATTATGTCATATCATACATACATCATGTCATCAACATATCATGTACTATATCGCAATA